TGGCTAGTGGATTTATCTTTTTAAAAAATGATGCAAATTGGAAAAGAAGATAAAATTGTGTCGTTCAGGTTGGCTCCTGGTGGAGAAGGCTGCAATTATCATTTTATTTATTTATGGTTATCATTGGTTATCATTTCTTATACAGTAATTATATAGTGGAGAAATATTAAAGAACACCCAAAACACCAATGAGTTTCTTGATTCTTTTAAAAGTACAGTAGGACAATAAAGAGAAGATCACATCACTTACTCCATTTTAAAAAAAAATCAAGTTTTTTTTCCACTTTGAGATTAATTTGCCTTTGGCTGAGTTATAATAACAATAACAATTAGTTTTTAAAGGAGAAATGTAATTCTGCCTTTAATGGTCAATATAAAAGAAACTCAATTATGCCAATGTTTACTCTACAATGAGCACAAATCCTTTGGGATTTGGAATTCAATTTTTGTTCAAAACTTTCATACCTGAATTACCAAATATAATACTGTACCCCAGTGAGTTATAAGAAATAAAGATATGTACAAACCCATATAAAAATTCTTGGTACGGATTTTTCCCCCTTCTTTCTTGAACATAACCAAATGATTAAAGTATTTCCTGATATGATAAAAATCTTGTACACATATTTAAAGCTGATGATACAACTTGAGAAATGAAATATAGCCCTAAACATGATGGCACAGTTACAATAGATAAAAAGAAACTGATATGTAGAATAATCAGGTGCTTATCAGATATATTTTTTAAAGTATAGCAGTTTGTTTTCTAAATGTGACATTTACATAACAACATCAGTCCAATATAGGATAAATCTAACCAGATGTGATGTTTCCATTTACAGTATGACTATAACCATGTGTTTTCTTAATCCAAACACTGAACAAATAGAACACAAAACTACAATTAATAGAAAATGGGAATCGTTGATTGCAACCATAAATAAAGGGAATATTGTCTACTTTCTTGAATGGCCCTCTTCAATCCTCCACAGAACTTCTGAATGTGACATGTGCATTTCAATCCATGAAGGAAACAGGAAGAGGTATTGCATAATATTATTACATTAGTATTCTCACCAAACTCACAAATCATATCCATACATTCTGGATTCCACAGGGAAAAAGACAAGATCCTTTATAAGTCCAATCCAGTCCAGTCCCTATTCTTGGGAAAAGCACCTTTGAAATAAGATAGTCCTCAACTTACAACTGTGACTGTTTAAAGTTACAACAGCATTGAAAAAAGTGACTTATGACCATTTTTCACACTTATAACCATTGCAGCATCCCCGGGATCACATGATCAAAATTCAGAGACTTGGCAACTGACTCATATTTATGACAGTTGCAATGTCCTTCTGACAAGCAAAGTCAGTGGGGAAGTCAGATTCACTTAACAACCGTGTTCCTAACTTAACAACTGCAGTGATTCCCTTAACAACTGCGGCAGGAAAGGTTGTAAAATAGGGCAAAATTCACTTAACTACTCTCTCAGAAATTTTGGGTTCTGCTGTGGTCCTTAAGTCAACCATGGCTGGCTGAGAAATTCTGGGAGTGAAGTCCATAAGTCTTGCCCTTGACGTGATGACCCGTTGCCTGGAGGCCGTAAGGGTCTGGATGGGGAGGAACAGACTCAGGCTCAACCCTTCCAAGACCGAGTGGCTGTGGCTGCCGGCGCCGCGGCATAGTCAGCTGACTCCATCGCTGACTATAGGGGGCGAAATTCTGGCCCCCTCGGAGAGGGTGCGCAATCTGGGGGTCCTCCTGGAT